AGGGTCCTAGGGAGCATATTCACAGGTGATGATAATGATGCTGACGTTGGTGATGATAATGATGATGGTGATGCTGGCGGTGCTGGTGATGATATCGATGCTGGTGCCACTGGTAGCCATCATTGTGCGAGTGTAACTTTGCGCATAAAGCAGATGGAACCACCGCAGAGGGGTCCTCACACTCGCCTGGTAGCGTTGGTTGATCTTAACCTGGTTGGTTTGGTGCAGTTAATGAGATGGTTATCGCTATGTACCCTAAAGCCTCCGAGCTGACCCTAAGAATACGGCTAAGGACCCTGCCTCATTCTCCTGCAGAGACCTAACAGGGCCTCCGTTTATCCGAACTGAAGGGCTCTTAGCGTATGGATAATGTCCCGTTGTTCCAATGTAGATGACCATGAGCAAGAAGCAGCGAATGATGATGGTAATGTTTGGGACGAAGCCGACGCTGATAAAATCGTGATGTGATGATGATGACGACGATGATGATGACGATCAAGGTAATTGCTGAAATGCATTTGACCAGTACCCCCGCTGCCAGCATCAGCAAAATCATGGGTGGCAAGCACTCTTCGTCGGTAAAAGCATGATTCTCATGAAAAGTTTGTTAGGGGTCTGGCAGGAAAGACAAACAACAGGATGATGACGATGATGACGACGACAATCTTGGCGCAATTACTATGAATCACCTCTGCTGCAATCCTTCCAGGCCTGACCACAGGATCTGGCTCAGGCATGCTTTGATCACATATCAACATTAGAATTATGAACATCACGCTTGAAAATGAGCTGCATCCCAGTTTGCCTCGTGGGGTAAACTGAACCCGAACGCGTCTGATAGTAACGTGAAAGATGCGCAGCCGGTCAATGCCTCCCCATCCGGGATGTATGTCGCAAGACTTCCTGTCAGGACATCAGGAACAGCCAGGGCCGACCCAGAATCAGTGGGTAAATGGTAATCAAGGTCTGTGAAATTCCTCTCTGTAAGGTCTATAAGAACATACAGCCGCGGCATTCAGACCTTTGATGTGATGTGACGAACGAAGCTTCAAGGGGGCTGCCGTCAAGCACCTCCACGTGGCCCACGAGCTTCCTCAATCGACAGGCCTTTCCTCAGCATGGATGTGGGTGGTTGTCAAGATTCTGGTCCCTTTTGGGCACCCTAAATATGAGGTGCTCGTATTATAATAGGGATCCAAAAAGGGACCATAATGTTGACAACCACCCATGTGTTGGTGCAACAACCTGACCGTACTAGTCCAATACCGGAGCCCAGAAGTTTTGTGCTGTTTTGTCAGGGCTTACAATACCCAACAAGATAGAAGTTCACCTACCAAGAAGCGAAGATGGTGTTCTCTTTATAACCCATGGGATCATTGGAAAAGTGCAGACTCGCTCAGTCGTGGGATCGTCCCATCTAATGCTTTGTTTGCCTAGGGTTCCGATGCACATAGAACAAGTCTTCGCAACCTGGTTTGGTTAAAGGGCAGAGTCTTAAAGTGGCGTAAGGGGATTATGATCTTCCTGCCCAATCCTTGATCAAGGAAACTCTTGGCACTGAATATTGGAATGCCACTAGTTGGTTGTGGG